TTGCGCCGCCAGCTCGCGCGTGTGGGAGGTGGGAGGGGGGGGAAAGGGCCGCCTGAGGCACCATGGCGGCGGGCGGGAGCTGGGGTCCGGCCCGGCATCGCCCGCCCGGCCCGCCGCTGCATCCGCCCCGGAGCCGCTGGGCTTAGCCTCCTGTCCACCACCCCCGGGGCGGGAGGTTGTGGTCGCTGCACGTTAAACGTGCCTGTGGCTGAAAGTGGTGGTGGTGGTGGTGTTCAGCCTCCGTGCTGTCAGTGCGGCCTCCAAGGGTGAGTTCTTCAGGTAAAATGTCATGGTTCTGGGGAGGATGAACGGCAGGACGTTTTAGGACGAGCCGTACTTGCATTTGTGTTGTGGTTTGAGCAACCTACAACAATTTATGGTTGTTCAGACAATTGCTCTCACTCAGTGAGCCTTCTGCACCTGGGGAAGGGGAATGGGAGAAAAACAAGGAAACCTGAGGGTTGAAATATAAACAGATTCAATAGAATAATACTAAATAATCAGCATTAATAATACTAAATAACCAGTATTGATCCCGATACCAATATAAAATACACAAAGATTATACTCGGCCCGTTCTACCTGTAGGAAGCTGTGCACTCCCAGCAATGAGCAAACCTGGGGCACTGCGAGTGCTACAGATTCAGGGGGAAGGGAAGGGCTCAGGGCTCCGGCGCCAGGGCAAGGAGTTCTCAGGATGGCAGCCATCAAGGGAGAGAGAGCTCTTCTCAGCAAACTTCTTAATTTATATTGAATGTGACGTTCATGGTATGAAATAATCCTGTTGGCCAGCTTGGGTCAAGTGCTCAGGTCTTGCTCTTCCTTGTTTCTGCACCTGGCCAGGTCGAAAACACTGAGACCTTGAGACCTACATACCGTAGCAGGCTATAAAATAAATATTTTCACAAATTCAGACACTAGATAGTCTTCTAAAAAATGCAGTTTTTCTAAGCATTAGAAGAGACCTTACTGAAAATTACTGAAAGAGAAATGAATCCTGTGTCACTCAAACCAGGACAATTTGTCAAAGGCCTCTGGCAAGGTTGTCTGTGAGAAAAAAATTAGTTTTTAACAAAAAAGTGTAATTTTTAGCTGGATCGTTCCCACTCAGCACAGCTTTCCAAGATGTGTTTGCGATTGCGTACATTCATTTTAGATAAGGTCAATGGAAATGTATCCTATACCTGGTCACACATTAGAAACTGCAGGTACCAGAAGAGTACGTGTAGCAGTAGGTGTTTGCAAACAAGACACAAAATACATTAAATTGTGCTGTGGATATTGTGAAGGAAAATTGCGAGGTGAAGTTTAGCACTTCCTATTGGGAAATACAAGTTTTTCCTCAAATTATCATCTCATATAATTGCTTACAGTTATTATTGTACCCAGTTCTACATGGACGTGTAAGAGGCAGATGTAGAAAGCTTTATGTACGTTTCTCCACAAAGATACTGTCCTTCCCTCTTCATTTACAGTGCAGGAGCTCCGGGCCAGGAAAACTGGACTTTCTGTGGTATAAAGTGAGACTAGTGTTCTTAGTCATTGACATTGCGCTTAATCCTTAACCCATGTCTTTGTAAAGAAAATCTTGCAGACATAGCTAGTTTCAGCTCCTGTCTGCCCTTTAACAAGCTTGTGTGAGCTATGGATACCTCAGGACAGTAAAACAACAAAAAGGAGAATAGTGTCAGTGCAGGATGCGTATGACAGGGAGTAGGTATACATATATTGTCCTTTTTGAGCTTGCACAAAGGGCAACGTTTGGAGTATCGGTGAAAAACAGCCTGCTATTACTTCTTTGGCAGTTACAGCAAGTCTGGGTCCATCGTGGCAGAATGTGGGCAGTATGTATTTATTTTTTTTTTACCTTTTCCCTGGCTGCCATCAGAGGCCCTGTTCTGCAGTGATCTCTTCTGTGCAGAAAATAACTCAGTAGGCTTTCAAGGGGCATGAAAGTCTGTCTTTGCTACTTGAAAACCTAATTCTGTGGAAAGTAAGATAAGGGTTCACTTTGTGGAATTCATAAAGCATCTGGCTGTGAAGCAGCATTGTACTGGCAAAGCTACTTGTCTACTGAATTCAGTCTCTAATGTGCAACTGTTGGATGGTTTCCAATCTAATGAAGCTTTATAGCACCTTTTGTCAGCACAATGTCATAGGTACTTGTTTTATACATCCACGTTGTGTAAAAGTGTCATCTCACAAGCACTGGTGACCTATGCTACAATGTGAACTCTGGTATGGTAGACTGAATAAATTTATAGCTTCAGGATGTGACTTTTTGGCGGGATCCTTTTTTTGGTTGTCTGCAGGAGAATCGTGACTTCATTCGTTAGTCACCAGGGACGTGATACAACGAATGCAGCAATTCCTGGTCTTCATAGCCATTGCCTCTCTGAGGGCAATCTCTTCCCTGTGTAAATGGTACACTGAGAAGGCATATTGCGTAGATTCACTTTGCAAGGAATGATGCGACTGCTCGGAAGAGTGGAGATGTTGCAGTCTGACATGGTCTTCTCACTCTAGAGGAGAGGCACAATATGCCTGAATTGCCATTATTTTATTGCAGGTTTCACTGTGTTTGATTAATTTAAAATTCCTATTGCTGAGGCTTGGTTATTACTTGAGAAGCTCTTGTTTTCAGAGGAACATCTAAGTTTCTACCCTTTATAAATGTAAGGAAGCCTGACAACCTTTATCTTAACAGCACTAGCACCAAAAGTAAACAAAATTATCCTGGACTTGTATGATGAAATCTGGGGGAAGTGGGGAAGGGAGAAATGGCAGGGGGGCATGAGATGTCTGGAGAAAACTTTGGAGTGTTTGCAGTTGGCAGCACTATTAATGTGAAGTTGACAGTTAAAGATCAATAGTTTTCACACTGAACAGAGATCTGCTTTCTGCATTTCGCATTCTTAGGTGAAGCTCGTTTCAGAACAGATCACTCAGACCCCTAAGTGTTCACGCTGTAGCATACCTGGGTGAAATAAACAGGAACTGACTTTGAGGAGAAGGAGAGGAGAATCAGTACTATACTAGCAGGCAGTGGAGGATGCTTTTGATTTTCTAGTTTCTTTCTTTTTACCCTACAGTGATTATTGTCCTTGCACTTTCTTTCTAGAAATCACAGCAGTTTCACTCTTATTGTTTTAGTAATATGTACACAGTATCTTACATGCAGTGTGTGCTATTTATATGACAATCTCTTACGGTCTGTTTCTGTTCATTTTATCCCAGCATGGGGGAAATATATGCACAGTTTGATGTGTATTTCATTTTTGCGTTTAAACTAGTCTGTGTAGGACTCTTGATATGGCCTCGAACTGCCTCGAACTTGCAATCTCATGGTATCTATTTGGCTGAAATGAGCATTAAATTTTCTACCTTAAGTGGGGATTCAGAAGCTTTTAAACTAAACTGTTGTGAAGTTTCAGCAAGGTTGGCTTTGAAGAAGTATAATGCTTGTAAGTCATTACCTGAAGTAAAAAGCTCGTAATTAAGAAAGCCTTCCCACTGCTATGGGATTTGTTCCTTTATTGGCTGGTGGGAACAGTGGTGGTTGGTGAGCGCAGGGTGACATCCAGTGGCTGGCTTCTGTCTGGCTGTGAGAAGGACTTGACTGGCTAGTAGTGTCACAAGGACACCCCAGCTGGGAGGGCCCTCGGATGTCTCCAGCCCAAAGCAGGGTCATACTGGATCCACATCAAAGTGGTCATGGATTTTCCCAGTCCTGAAAACCTCCAAGGACTCAGAGTAACTTATTCCCTAATTATTCTCATTGTGAAAATTACTTTCTTTATCCAAAACCTGTTTTTTTCAGTTTATGTCCATTGTGCCTTTTCCTCCACAGAGCACCTCAATAAAGAGCCCAGATCCATCTTCTCAATAAACCCCTTGTAGTTACTGGGGGGCTGTTTTTGTGCCCTCCTGAAGCTGTTTCTTCCCCAGGCTGAACAAGTCCAGCTCCCACAGCTTCTCCAATCAGGGTTTATGGTCCCCTGCCTGTCTCACTGTCTCTCTGCAGTACATGCTCAAATTGCACAGCAGCAGGCCAGGTTTCTGATTTGGCTTGTTGGTAACAATAAGGATGACTGAGTTGATGAAGGATTCACACATGCTTA